TTAACCCAGCGCAACTACTCTATAACCTCAACAAAGCCGCCCAGCATCAAGCCCAACAACTCCAGAAGAACCTGGGAAATTCTTCGGGAAGTCTCTGTGTATATAGCCTTAACCTTTATGCTTCAGATTCAGCCTATTTATTCTGTTTCCGAGGCAGAAACAATGCCTCTTTTCACTGTAGCCGGCTCAACCTCTCTTCTCTGCTCTAAAATAGCTCGCATTTGTTTTCAGCAACTTTCCTTTCCAACTTTCTCAAACGCAGAAGGGCTTTTGATTTTCTTCGTCCTGTTCTTTCTTTCAGCTGAAGCCCAGGGAAGGAACGTCAGAGGTCTCATCCAAGATTTCACAGCAAGTAGGCTCTGGGTCTGCCTCCCTTCCGCTACAGGGCAGAGACCTGCTTCGCGCCTCCCTGCTGTGCACCCTTGGGTAAGCCGCGCCACCTCTCTGTGCTTCAGTTACTGACGGGTATCAAGTGGGGACTGACCCCATTTTGGCACTTCCCCCCGGTTCCTCCCACTGTGGAGACAGTTCACCCCTCGCTGCCCCTCACCCAGCCCGACAATATAAAGAGGTATAAAGAGGAAAAAACTTGCGTTAGACATCCAGGGACTGCGCGAAGCTCCGAGGCTCCTGGCCGCGGAATTGTTGCCTGGTGACCCAGTCTCACACAAATCTCAGAACAGCAGCGCCCCACCTCCCTGGTCACCCAGCAACAGGGCCACGCCTCCTGCCCAAACACCGCCTGCAGCCCCGCCAAGGATCAACCCCTGTCCCCAGGGACCCCTGCCCGGTAGGCGAGGTGCTTGGGCTGGGTGACAGAAGCCTACGCCCCCACTGTGCAGAGGTGGAGACTGAGGCCGACGGGGCGAGACTAGGGCATCCCATTGTCCTGGCGTCCCAGGGGTGCGTCTGGGTCCGGGATCTCGCGCTCCGGATTCCCGGAGCCAAGATCCTTTCCCTCGCACCCGCGTGGAGCTCCCACCTAGAGATCCGAAACCTCGCGGTTCCAGCAGGACCCAGTTCGGTAGCGCTGTCCGCTCCCGTCCCCATCCTTCCGAAGGGGAAACTGAGTCCCCGATGGACGACCTCCGAGTTCCCTGGCTCTCCCCTTTGGGTCTCACCTGCAGCTGCCACTGCGCGCCCTGGTTTCCTGGAGTTGAGCGGCAGACAAAGACCTCCAATCCGCGTGCGAGGCGGGGCGCGGCTGCTTTGCATAATGCCCGCAAACCGCCCGAGACGGCCGAGGGCAGGCTCCCTAGGGCGGAGCTTCTGCGAGATCCACCAATCATAGAGAGACTGACTACTTCGCCCGCCCCAGACTTTGGCAGTCGGCGGGATAAATTCAACTCTGGGCCGAAATCTCAGATCTGTTGGTCTGCATCTCCCTGTGCGAGCCTGCCAGAGCGCAGAAGGGGAAACTGAGGCAGGGAGCGGACGATGTCTGTGGGGTCTACGGAGACACCATGAGAAAGTCACCAAGTTTGAGGACGGAGATCTGCCGCTTCATAACTGTTGCAATAAATCGTGTGCTGATTGTGTGGTGTTAGGCTGCTGTGAGGAAGGCGGTGTTGCCATCGGTCTTCTGGCCCCGGAAGTCAGAAAAGAGGCCTGGAAATGTGAGCCAGAGAGGGACGAGGGAGAAGTGATGTCTTCAAACAATGGCAATGTGGAGTGTCAGACTGGCTTGGGCCAGTTCTGTTTATTACTTGCCAATGAAAAATAACAAAACTTCGAATTCAACACTGTCACTCCTGGGGGTGCAGAGGTGTGCAAATAGGCACATGGCTCCAGACCCTCCAAGATCTTAATCTATTTAACAACAGCCCCACTGCCCGTGTTCCCCCTGGACATGGCTCCCCCATTGCCTTACAGCCAGACACTCCCCACACAGACGTCAGCAGCAGCCACCAAAGAACCACTTGGGTTCCTGGGCAGAAGCCTCCAAATTATGTCAGCGCTGTGCTCTGCGTGCAAAGATGACAAACAGCTTGGGAGAGGGTAAGCGGCTTGCTCAAGGCTACTCAGCTGGGAGCAAAACAGACCGAATCTGAGAAAGTATAGACTCACAGCCTGTCTTTGTACTACCTACATCCAGCTAACTCACCTCACACCCACTGTCTTCCACAGAAGGCTGCAGGCAATTTACAGGCCAACCTGGCCCTCCTTTGGGCAGGCTCACATTGTAAGAACCCCCTCCCCCACATAACCTCTGCTAGGCTTCTTCATAAAGACATGGCCGGGAATGTCGGGGTAGGAAAGGCCAGTGTGCACACCATCTTGGAAGTGAGCCGTCCTGGTTAGTTTTTATCGCCAGTTAGACACAACCATGAATCACCTGGGAAAAGGAATCTTGCTTGAAGAGGTGCCATCAGGTTGGCCCAGACTGACCTGTGACCGTGTTTGTACAAGACTGTCTTAATTAATGACTGATGTAGGAGGGCTAGCCCACCATGGGCAGCACCACCCCTAGGAAGGTGAGCCTGGTGGTACAGAGCAAGCCAGTAAGAATGGTTCCTGCCTCAGGATGCTGCCTTGAGTTACTGCCATGGCTTCCCTTGGCTGTAACCTGGGAGATGGAGTAAATCCTTTTACCCACTAAGCAGTTTTTGGTCATGGCATTTATCAAGTGACAGAAACAGAAAACAGAACATGCTCTAGTTTGAACGTGAGCTACATCTCTGGAGTGGAGCAACATGGAACTCTCCTCTTAAAAGGTACTGAAACAGAAGAGACAATGAGATGTGGTGAGGGTTCCCCAGCGGGGACAAGGCCCTCTGAGATTCTCCAGCTATCCATGCCTCATGTTTTCCACAAGAAAGATGTCGGGGAACAGATATACATAGTTGAGGTGAACATCTGATGCATCCAGCCCCCCACACTGAATCCCTTCCAAGACACAAGTATGGATGTCTATCCTGGGGCTCAGGCTGATGAGGCTCTGAATTTGATCTTCCGAAGTTCACTGCCAAAGAATTTGGAGGTTTAAATTACACTGGAAAGCAGGCCTGGCTGCAGGTACTGGAGAGGTTGAGGCAGCAGGATTAAAAGTTCAAGACAAGCCTGGGCTAAAAAAGACTGTCTCAGAATACAGCCTAAAGAACTGGGCCTACAGCTCAGCCATGAGCTCAGTCTCCAGTGCTGCAAAAATGAGTGAATGCCATTTTCTTGGAATTTGGAATGTAAAAACTGATTAGGAATATACCAGTAGATCCTTTCAACAGAGCCAGGCTCAGAATTCTGGAAGCAACAGCACCAGGAACTAATCCTTGCCCTACTCTTTCATGGAACTCTGTCCTCAAGAGGTTGGACCAAGTAGGGAGCTGGTAAATTAGGGCCAGGAAAATGTGTCTGCCCTTCAGGTCAGACAGCAGTGACCTGTCTAACATAGTGACTAGTCCATGATCTTGCAGGCAGCCAGTAACAGCCTGGAAGCTCCATTCCAAACAAAGCATAAATTGCTGGGCTGGAGGAGGTGGGACCACACAGACCCCACGGGCAGGCCTCCCTGGGCCTGAGGCTGTCACCACATGGACACTGAACTTGTCACCATTTATTGTGCATTTCTGGGCTTCAGGTGTGGGGATCTGATCACTGTTGAGTCTACCCGGTACATCTTACAGGTGGAGACCCTGAGCACCAGTCACCTGACACACTTCCTGGGGAGCTGAGCTCAAGCCTGAGCAAAGCCCTCTGTAGCTGGGCAGAGGTTATTCCCTCATAGAGGTGACAGATCTTACAGGGAAAGGAAGGAGCAGCCATAACCCTGAGAGGGGCTGAACCCTTGAGTGGATCGGATGTGTACCAGCTGCCTTGGGAGAACCACGGCTTTTGTTTCTGGTGGTCTGCCTAAGTCTGAAAGAAAAGAATGGCCACTGAGATCTAAGTCTAAATCATTAATAGAGATTTAGAACCCGGGGAATTGTAATACAAACACTTTACCACTGAACTTCACTCCTAGCCCAAGAGCAGGATCTTGTACAAGACCATGGAACTGATGGCCCCCGCCTACCTCAGACAGAGCCCTGGACCTTCTGGTAAAGGGCTTGCCACACCTCTCCCACCAGACATTTTTATGACAAGAGGAAAGGGCTCTTGGAATGGTTCTCAGACAACAGGACAAGCTAAGTTTTACCACCTTCCCTGGCTGACCCTCTCCCCTGTGGCTGCTTCTAACCCCCACTGCCCTTGTATGCAGAAGCAGATGGGCCCTGTCAGGAGGGAGAGCAGGAAGAACCCAGGAGTCCACGTGGCTGTGGGCCTTGTGGGCCTGAGTGGAGACAGTTCTCTAAGCAGCTCTCCATCTCTGCACCTCCGGGATACTGTGTGATGAAGCTGAAGGTGCCCTCTGGGCAGTACCCTGTGCCGTGATCTCCTCTGTCCTCCCTCAGTGAGTCACTTGCCTATAAATCTGAGTTTCAGAGTTGGCATCCTGGATTGTCCACAAGATAGCCAGTCGGGTGTGTGTGTGTGTACTAGTGTATGTGCTAAGCATGTTTGCGTGGGTGCAGGTGTATGCTTGTGCCTATGTGTGCATTCTCATGTGGAAACCAAGACCTCAGATGGTATTTCTAGGAGTCATTCCTTGTTAAGACATGGTCTCTCACTGACCTGATGCTTGCGATGGAGCAAGGCTGGCTGATGAGTGAGCCCCAGGATTACCGTGTTTTGGCCTCCCCTGTGTCTGGATTGCAAATGTAGGCTACCATGTCTGGCTTTTTATATTGGTTCTGGGAATTGAACTCAGGTCTTCCATGACTGTATAGCAATTTCTTTACTGACTAAACCATTTTCCCAGCCCCAAGGTGTTTTTTTTTAAACATTCTGCACATAACATACTCTATCCAGGAGCATACCTGTGTGCCTTGATTTAAAAGTGTTAACTTCACATTACTTAAGCTGGTGTTTAGAATTCAGCCGACAGTGTGTAACAATCTAGGTGACCCATCCCTGCCATCACCCCACAAGGCAGCAGCACAGCACAGCACAGCACACTTGCCCAGCCTTGTTCAGATTTCTTTATTGAAAAATTAAAGTCATAAGCTCTGTATATAAATACACCGCACTGCTGGTCGCCTGCAAGGCCTCTAGGAGAGGCTGGGAGTGCAAGGGGAATGTGGGGTTTGGGGTCCCCGGAAGCACAGGAAGGGAAATAGATAAATAAATACCATGAGGACACTGAGCTAAGAGGAGGGGGTGCGACTGGTGTGAACAGGCGTGCTGGCGGCTCACTGTGGCACTGAAGGTCCCCCGGCAGGAAGCAGTCCGTGAGCCCTCCTGTGACATCACAACCAAGACCTAGGCATCTAGGGGTGGCAGCACCCCCATCCTTCCCTAACAGTTTTATTGAGCTCCTACTGTGTTTCTGGCACACAGATTCTGGCCAGGGGACCAGGCAGGGTGTGTGTGTCAGGGTGACATGGAGAGTCTGCCTGTGACCCTGTGACCCTGTGACCCTGTCCTGCAGTCCCGATCTTGGCTCCATCCCTAGAGCATCACGTTGAACTCAGTGACCAGAAAGTCGATGTAGTCTCTCTCCTTGGTCTTGAAGGCCTCAGCGATGATGCGGGCCGCCTCTCTGTGCTCCTTACCCCGAAGTGCCAGCCCGTTCACTTCCAGAATCACGTGGCCCACCTTTAGCTGCCCACAATTATGGGCAGAACCTCCTCGCTGCACAGGGAGACACAAGCGGGGGTCATGTGGGTACCTGGTTTTAACCACTAAGAACACCCACTCCGATAAACAGCTATGTTACCAACTTAGAGTCCACAGTCCTGGCAAAACTGGGGTCTGCAGAACAAGAGGAGGAAACTTCCCAAGTTCTGGGCCAGGATGGAGTGAGGGTGGGAGAACATGTTCCTGCTAGCCTGCTCAGACAGAGGGGCACTGGCTCTGTCTTGGGGTTCTGTGTCACCTCTCTTCTAAGGGTGCCAAGAAAGAGCTCTTTAAGACAGGGAGACTACACAAGGGGCACCTTGAGGACATACCTGAATTGTGACAATCCTGGGCAGAGGCTGGCGTGTGTTGGCACCACCCTCAATGGCGATGCCCAGTGTGGCTGCACTTTTCCTTACACGGACTAGAGTGGATGTTGGCTCCAGGAGGCCAGGCTGCAGGTGGGAGAAAGGTGGCCTTGAACTCCTCAAATATGACACAGACTAAGCTAAGTACCTGGTGTCCCTGACCCAGACTGCTGGTGTAGCAGAGACTCGAATCCCAGGCCTGAGGGACTCCAGATTCCTAGCACCATGACCCTTCCGGATCACTCCGGCAATGCCCCCTAAGGGCCACACTCTAGGTGTCTCCGGATTCCCAGGGCCGTCCATCCTCCCCCACTCACAGGTTTATTGGCGCCCTCTGTGGTCCTCTCCGTCCGGGGCAGTTCCTTGCCACTCTTGCTCCTAGTGGACGCTGCCTGTCCGCCTCGGCCCGAAGTGCTGGCCTCTGTCTCCCCAGCGTCCACACCACTGTCCTCACTTAGAGTCTGCCCACTGTCCGAGAGCTGAGAGAGTGTGGAGGCTGCTGCGGACAGACAGGGGACAGAAGCAGTCACGGAGGGTGCCTTGGGGAAGGTGATGGGGCTGGGGGTGATATCTATGGAGACTCACCATGCAAAGATAAAGGGGAAGATGAAGGGGTACAGGGGATGGAGGGCAGGGGATAATCCCCGCAACCAATCCCATCTCCTGACCACCTGATCTGCCAGCAGGGCCAGGCCTTCTGCCCAGACCCCAGCCATCGGCACACAGATTAAAACAGAGGCTAATGGGTCAGTCCTGCTCATAGAAGTGGGCTATTGCTTTGCTGCTTAAATTCACACAATGTCAATTTTTAATGATAGATATTTGAATTAGGAGGTTTTTTTTTTAAGCTCATAGTTACACAAGAAAAACATGGAGGGTCTTCCACCCTGTCCTTACCTCACCTCCCGTGACCACCCTGGTGTGAACTGACATATGGAGCCAAACATATCCCATTCTCTAGCCAATTAAGCCGCTTCATTCAGTGTAGTCACTGGACCCTGAGCTGGGGGCTCTTGTTTAACAATGTGCACTGTAGATCCTGGTGTGTTGGGTCTGAATCCCCAAGACTGGCTGTGCCCTTGTCCTAACCCTGGAGAGTGATACCCACCTGGGGTCATCACAAAGACCAGGAGAAGCAGTGAAGGGCACCCTGCTCCCACGGCCTGGTTCTGCCACTGCCTGCTGCATCTCAGGCTTCCCCTGTGTCAGTGTGGATGCTGACACAGGGCCGGTGGCAGGGCTCCACGAGTTAAGTGCAAGCAAGGCCTCTAGCCATTACTAGCTCCCACCATCCCTTGCCCAGTACATCTACAGAGGTGTGCTTGACAGTTGTTCCTCAGGGCAGGGATGTAGTGTTCATCATCTGTGCTGGAGGCCTGCCCTGGCCTGCCCCTGCCTGCCCTGGCCTGCCCCTGCCTGCCCTGCTTGCCCTTTTCCTAGGCTTCCCAGTGGGCAGGGCATAACACTTTAACCACAAGATGGCAGCAGAGCCCAGCTAACTACTGCACAGCCAGCGAGGCCTTCCTCCACATCCTCACTGGCATCCCTTAGAAAACAGGGGGTCCTAGACTGGCCTGTGCAGGAATCTAGAGGCCCAGTGATGGTCAGGGGCACAGTCTTCCAGAGGAGGCAGCGAGATGGACGCCAGGAGAAGGGGCAGGGGACCCTTAACTCCACCTGACAGTACCGTCTGTACCTACTCCGTATTACCAGGGGAAGGTGTCACTCACTCAGCCAGGGTAGTTGTGCAGCAAATGACTGGTCAGTGGCTGAAGTGGGATGCAAACCCAAGTCTTCATGGTGGCTTTGAGCCAGACCGCAGGCTGGCAGACCCTTCTGTAGCACGTGGCACTACCAGTCACCACGAGTGGCCCTGGGACCCAGAGACCTTCCCCTATGACACAGAGCCGGGCAGCCATACTCACTGCGTGTCTGGGGCAGGGCCCGGACTTCATTCACGTCAGGCTCGCTATCCGGACGGTGCACCTCCACCAAGACAAAGTGCTGGTTTGCGCCCACAGGGGCAGGGTGATCGGAGGACGATGGTGACGGAAGGCAGGCCCCAGCCCCTTGGGTCTCTGCAGGAGGGCTCTTCAGGTGCGGTGGGGACTGGACCCGAGGGAAGGGACCGATGGGATGCTGGTTAACCAGGGCCAGGTGGGTGTCCAGCGGCTTCCTAGGCCTGGGGTTGGCATGGGAGACGGAAGCATAAATGGGAGAGGAGGGTGAGTCCGGTGCTGAGGGGGGCCCTGGGGTGGGTGCAGGGCCCAGTGGTGGGCTTCGATTCTGTGGTGCTGAGAAGACAATGCCTGAGTGGCCAGCAGAAGACACAGGTGTAGGGTCCTCCCTTCCTGGCTTCCGTGTTTGGTCAAGTCGGTGGTCGTGATCTTGAGCCAATGGTGGTGGGGGAGGGGGTGGCTTGATGCCAGACAGATCTTCTGAGGGGGGTTTGACGTCGTCCTGCCAAAAGACCCAACAGGAGTAGAAGTCAGAGCCCATGGTGGCCAGACAGGGACAGCGAGCAGTGCTGGACCCGCAAGGACTCGGCCCCTGTGCCTCAGCTCCTGGCCACGCTCCGCTGAATAATGCATCGCTCGGTGGAAAACTGCTCCCTACATCTCAGCAGCTGAGGAGTGCCAGGATCCTGGCAGGTGTCTCTGGGGACCCACTTGGTTCCTTTGGGAATTGAAGTTCTTGGCGTCAGCAGGGGCTCATCACGAGTGACAAGACTTAATTGGAGGCAGGAGGAAGAAGATGGTAACACAAAGCAAGCATTTCCACTGCATGAATGATCTTGGCAAGTGGAGATGGGAGGAAGGGTGGAGGCATCTGCGGGCTACAGGGCTGTGTGGCCACGGACAGGGTGAGGTGCCTCTCTGAGCACAGTGCACCTAACAGCAGGTTAGCAGGGACGAGAGCAGCGGAGTGTACCACGTGCTGACAAGGTGCCTGAGATGCAGTGCTCCCAGCCCCTTTCCTTAGGTCAGTGTCCACACTTGCAAAGCTCTGACAGCCTTGGAGACACTGTCTCAAAGCTTTGACTACGTCACCCGACTCACTCAGGCCCCAGCTATGAGTGAGGTGCAGCGTTTTCACCTCTATGTTACAGAAGGGCTACACAGGCAACAGGGACGTGGGACTAGAATCCAGGCAACCAGCTGGGTTGGCGGGCTCTCGGCAGAGACTCGACACTCCCACCCACCGTGGGAGTGGCTATCCCCAAGGAGAGCCCAGGAGTCCCTAAGCAAAGGGGGAGTATAGCCAAGCAGGTCTTACCACAGACACATCCGGCAGGGTGTTAACATTGCCTTCGGTGGTCTCACCGTTTCCCTCCAGGTCTAACGTGTTCTGGAAATGAACAAGAGACAAACTGAGCAGGCAGAGCTGAGAGGAAAGCCCACCTGTTTTCTGGTCCACAGAATCTGTGACCTTGTGACCCCTTCCGATGGCTGAGGTTACCCTGGCAGAACCCCACTCTGTGGATATTTACGTTACCCATTCAAAGCAATACAGTGACTTTTTCTGTTAGTCACTTTGAAGTTAAATTTTCTTTATTAATATTTTTCAGACAGGACATAATGAAGTCCATGCTGGCCTCATCTTAAACTTGCTGTGTAGCCTAGGATGACCGTGAACTGACTCTCCTTTTGTCTACCTCCCCAAGTGCTAGGATTAGAAGCATGTGCCAACACGTCCAGTGTACATGATGCTGGGGATTGAACCCAGGTCTTCCATACAAGAAAAAAGCACTCTTATCAACTGAGCTACATTCTAAACCGTGAAGTCAGTTCTTTGTGACCTCCTGATCATTTTCAGACCTCCCTTGAACTATCTGGAGATGGTGTCTTAGACTTGAATCGTAAGTGTTGTTCTCAACAGAGTTAGTACCTTCATCCAGTGGCAGACAGAATGCTGGGGGCAGGGCGGGGCGGGGCAGGGCACACAACAGGCACAGAGGTGTGTGTAAGGAAAGAGTGCTGTTCTATGGCTCCAACCCCAAAGGGGGAACTTAATGTAAAAGTGGATTCCATATGACAAAATATTCATCTCCTCCTTACTCCATACTGTGTATGTGCGCACATCTGTGTCTGTCTGTGTGAGTGTGGCATGCATGTGGAGACCTAAAGAGGAGTCAAATTCCCTAGAGCTGGAGTTACAGCCAGTTGTGAACCACCCAGTGTGGGAGCCATGAACTCAATTCGGATCCGCTGGAAGAGCAGCAAGTGCTCTTAGCCCTGGGCCATGTCTGCAGAGCCTCACTCCATCCCTAGTCCACACTCCCTTAAGGGACTTCATGATGCTGGGTTCTCTGGACCAGCAAAGTGAGTGCTTCTGAGCTGGGTTCTCTGGAAGTGGGGGAATGGGGAGCTTCGGAAGTCCATCATCTCCTTCTCCCTCCAGACTATCAGTGAGACTGTACCTGTGTTCATTTGGCTAGATTAGGGGATAAATAGCTAGTAGGTGTTAGTTCTCTGTGCCTGTGAGGATGTTTCTGGAAATCAGTCACAAACATCATCTCCGCTGTGCAGAGTCCCACTTTCTCCTGCCTCAGTCTTTTTCCTTTTGTGATGTAATGGATGAGCCCAGGTCCACGCCAGGGCAGTCCAGCGCTGAGTCTCGCCAAGACCTTCCCTTGCCCTTGCGCAACAGGACTGCTGCTTCTCAAGCTGAGCTGGATAAAACGGACGCCTCGGGCCTCCAGCCTGCAGACGGAAGTCCCAGCTGCCAAGGTCTCCCAAGTGTCGTCCTCATGAGTCTTCCTGTGTTCTGGAGTGATCCTGTAGGTTGCTTCCATGGATAACACTGGCTGATGAGGCACCTAGACCTGGCTGAAGTCTCCAGTGACCCATTAATAACGAATGAATAATCCCCAGGCTCTGGGCCAGCAGCTGGGACTGAAGGAGAGACAGCGCCCTGACTGAATGTGTGTGTGTGTGTGTGTCTGTGTGTGTGTTGTGAGCGGGGCAGAGGGAGATTTAGACCTTGGAGGCAATCCCATGGCTATCAGCACATGGTACACCGAGGAAGAGAGACCAAGCAAGGCTTCCTAGATGGGTCAGGGATGGACACTGGCTCTGTGAGCAGGAAGCCATGTATCAGACACTGGGTGTTTTCTGCCAGCTCTTGGCCGTCTGAGGGCAGTGGGCTGTCCGGAGATGAGGTGAAGTTTGCTTTCCGTGAAGATTCCATTTGCTTACATCCCTTCTGCCAAGTGGGAGCACTGCAGGCAGCGTGGCTTGCTCTTCCCACCAGCCACCATCTGCTGGCTCCCAGGTCACCTCTGGCATGGCGTCTGCCTGAGCAAGCCACCCCTAGTCCATTTTCCTCTTCTCTCTCTCATCTCTGCCCCCCACCCAGCAGCCAGACAGTCCTCAGAAAAGAACCCATGTACACGCCCAGCCCAAGCAAGGTCCCGGGGCTTTAACGTGTCACTTGGGAGAGACATTCCAAGCCCCCCAAACTCACTGCTGGCTACATGACCCTGTTCTTTCTTGCTGTTTCCCCAGTCTAACGGCAACCACGCCTGCCCCTGGGCCTTTGCACCAGCTGCTCTGCCACCTGCACCATTCAGGATTCACTTCCACCTTTCCTTCGGTTCTCGCCACCGAGGCCTCCCAGGCCAGCCGTCTCCATGGGCACCAGAGATAGCACTGCTCATCTATCCTGACCTGGCCCACTTTTCTGTACACAGGTCACATGTGCCTGTATTATCTCCTCTTCCTCCTGGGTATAAACTAGGGCAAGACTCAGGCCACTGCGCCTTTTGTGCTCAGAACCGTGGCTGCTGGGTCTAAATAAATGGAAGAGTCTATGAGTGAATGGATTGCTTGCTTTAGCTGCCGGGGCAGGGGCTGAGCATGCTGGGAGTTGGGGAGGGGGCCAGTACCAATGGTTGGGACAGAGGCAGGCATAGCTGTAAAGGAAGGCCCTCATGTGGAGCCTCCTAGATGTAGATTCCTCCCTCAGAAGCTGCAAGTGTTCCGGACATGTGTTTGCAAAGGCCGGTGATGAAGCCACAAATGGACAGGATGCTATGTCCCCTTCATAGGTCACCCCTGAGGTTTTCTTGAGCTCACATCCAGCTCTGCATCTTACGGCTGTGTGACAATAGGGAAGACATAAGCCTCTCCGGGTAGTTGACCAAGTCATGCAGTTAATCCACTAACGCGAGATGGCTCTTCCCATAGGGCCTGGCCCTGTACCTTGGAAAGTCTTCCTCATTAGAAATCCAGGAAGCCTTGCAAACTGCCCCCACAGTGGAAGGTCTACCAAGTATACTGTGGCCCTTGTGGGCGAACCCCTCAGAGGAAAAGGTCATCAGCACGGTGCTGTCTGGAAACATCCCTGGTGGATGGACATCAGAGACGGCCTCCTAGCTGAGGGGAGTTTGTCCGGGCAGGTCCTTACCAGAATTCCACAGCCAAGCTCTGGCCTCAGTAGGAGACACAGAATTCTGAAAATCCATGGTGTCTACTCCGAGGCCAAAAGAAGCCTCTGCTAGAGGCACTTATGGCCCATATCTGCTGCAGGGGATGCTGGGAGAGGAGGGAGAGACGACTGCAAGCAGGTGCTGGGAGCCTGAAGCATCATTCAGTCATTCAGCAAACATTGGCCATGATTTAGGAGTGAGGTGGGAAGGTTCTGAGGGTCATGGAAGTGAGGATCAGGTGCTTGGCTCTTTTCCTACCTTCCTGCATGCAATTTCCCATGACCCTGAGGCAAGCATCATGGATCTCCCCAATTGTCTGCCATCTCTCCTGTGATTATAGATCTAGAGGAATGCGACAGGTCCAAGGATGCATGGCCATTATCCTGGCTAATTTTATGTCAACTTGACACAGTCTAGAGTCATCTGAGAGAAGGAAACCCCAATTGAGAAAATGCCTTTATAAGATTACACTGTAGGCAAGCCTGTAGGACGTTTTCTTAATTAGTGTTTGATGGGGGAGGGACCAGCCCATTGTGGGTGGTGCCATCCCTGGGCTGGAGGTCTTGGAGTTTGTAAGAAAGCAGGTTGGCAAAGCCAGTAAGCAGCACCCCTCCATGGCCTCCGCATCAGCTCCTGCCTTCAGGTTCTGAGTTCCTTCAGTGATGGGCTATAGGTGTGGAAACCCACGCCAGATAAACCCTTTCCTCCCCAGCTTGCTTTTGACCCTCACTAGGACGGCCATTCTATAGTAACTTGTCATACACCTGGAGCTGGACAGAGCCCCAGTGTTTCAGACGGGCAAGGGCAGAAGTGGAGCATACCGCATACCGTAGGCAGCTGGTTGGAGCGCAGCACAGCCAGGCTCCGTCTGCCAGATCCAGACACTCTGGAGCCCCAAGTCTCCCAGGCATGTTCCTTGTACACCTGAAACAGCGGCAACAAGCCCAGACAAGGAATAGAGCAGAGCCCTCAGGGCAGGCTTCGAGGTCCAAGGCCACAGGGCATGCCTCGTGTCCTGGACACTGCATCCCAATGCCAGCTGCCTGCGGCTTTCTCCACACCTGAAGGGCTGATGCCTGAGAACCCTCTCTGTTCTACAGCCCCGCCTGAGGCTCAGAGAGGTCCAAAGTCACCCATCCAAGTCTAGAGGTCTTTAAGTCCCTACTCCACTGTCTCAGTCTCCAACCTCCACAAGGCTTTCGGGGTGCATGACAGTCCCCCCGTATATTGGAGTGAGTACAGCAAGGTCCAGATTCTCACACATCTGGCTTGGAGCAAATGGAGATGGGAAAGTGGAAACGGGAAGTGAATGGCCAGGATCTATCCTTGTGCTGACTTCCACCCAGGTACTGAGAACAGGCAATGCCCGCTTTGGGTATCATCAGCGCCACCTCAGCAGAGTAATGCTCCTCCCCTACCCTGCCGCCCTCCCCGAGCCATCCCAGTTTCTGCCTCCTGCTCCTTGCTTACATAAAGGTGCTATTTCCAGCTCTTTGTCCTCCCAGCCTTGTTACTCCAGTGTCAAGCCACGCCCTCTCTCCCCTCCCCCACCACAAAATGCACCTAAGGTCTGGCACTGGATGGGCCACTGCCCACTCTATATAAGGAGAAACTGAGGCACTGAATTACACAGGCTTCCAGAAGGCCGAGTGTGTGTATGTGCGCGCGTCTGTGTATAGGGGCAGCATTTGATTTCTGCATGAGGGAAGAGTATAAATAAGGAGGAAGATGGGGAGAGGTTTCAAAGGTAGGGAGGGTTGGGGAAAGCCAGACAGTTCAGCCACAGGAAAAGCAGATGCACAGAGAGAAAATCAAGGTGGAAAGGTGACGGATGGTGAAATGATTTGGGGAGGCGGAAGTCCTGGATTGCTTGGGACAGTGATTCCTTCTTCAAAGCCGGCTATCTGTGAGAACAGTC